ACGGCCCAGAAGGTGAGTTTTCATCTCTGCACTGAACTTGTCTGAGAACATCTTCTGACGCTCTCATGCTCCGCAGAACTATCGAATCATGAAGATTTTTCTAGTTCTGGTAGTCTTGTTGATGTGTGCAAGCTATGTATCAAGTGGTCGGATCCCCAACGGGGACATTCGGCAGCTCTCAAAGTCAACCGAGCCGAAGCCAGGTAGCCTTGCTCCACATGATGATGAGGATTCGTGTCCTTGTATTATTGACAACGAGAGGCAAGAACAGTGTGGAGACACTGAGCTCTGCTCCGGGGGATGCGGCAAATGTGCTAGCCACTGTACTTGCAGCGACGGCGCCGCTGATTCGACTCGTTCATCTTCTGGTTCAAATGGTTCATCTAAATCCTCAAATGGGGATTCTAATGACCAGGAAGAATCAAGCTCAACAGCCGAGTCCAGTCCACCCAGTAGCCTCCATGCAAGTGATTCTGAATGAATCACTCACAGTTTGCATCAAGACTAAATCAATCAAACCATCCCAACAGGAGCAGTTATGGTTGTGACACTCTCCCCTTCAAAAACTGCACTTTTGATTTGTCCACAAATCCGCATGTCTGCACAATCCTCTATCTAAACCGAGTTCCCAAGTATTCTTAGTCCATGTTCATGTTGCTTTTTGCCCCCAGCTGTACGATGGGAATGTTTGATGGACGAGTTGATCCGAACTGGAGCTTCCATGATTTGTATTGATCAATGACCAGAGCACAGTTCACCTAGAATAATTCCTACCAAATGTTCTGGTTTCATAACACAGTTATGATATACCCACAATGATTTGCAAGCTGCTGCAGAGTTTTTTTTTTTATAAAAAAAAACGGCATGTGTTGAATGCTTATTCCGGAGTCCGCCAATTGGCCAAATTTCCCTTACAAATGAGAAAGCCTCCCAGAGAGTGGCTGAGAAGCTAACCCAGATGGGTCAAGTTTTTGAGAGGCATTAAAAGAGCCCCACAAGGCAATGGTGGTGTGACACAGCTTGTATTCAGTTCTCAAGTTGATGAAGATTTTGCTGGCTTTAACCTTGCCATTCTAGCACAATCAAGGTTGCACCAATATGTTGCACAGGCTTTCACCCACATCAAACCTTCATGATCCTTAATGGTTAGGGGGGGGGGGAGGATAAAGTTCCGACTAATGAGCTTATAAAATAATAAACACCCGCCACCTTAAGGACCGTTAGCGAGGTAGGTGGGAGGGGATAAAGACAGCCTTATCTTACTAAACTTTTCCTGCACCTTTTTTATTTATTTAAATAAAATATAAAAAATATAAGTAGATAAAAATAAGGAGCACACACATATGTGTGTGTGTGGAGGGGTGAACATAAAAAGAAAGGGAGAGGAGGAGAGAGTGGCTGAAAAGCTAACCCAGATGGGTCAAGTTTTTGAGAAGCATTAAAAGAGCCCCACAAGGCAATGGTGGTGTGACACAGCTTGTATTCAGTTCTCAAGTTGATGAAGATTTTGCTGGCTTTAACCTTGCCATTCTAGCACAATCAAGGTTGCACCAATGTGTTGCACAGGCTTTCACCCACATCAAACCTTCATGATCCTGATCTACTTGAGCTGGTCCATCCCCCCAGAAAAAGTGATTGATCTGATACTTATGGTTGAGTGGCCTGTGGCCTCTCCAAGTTATGGATGTCAGTATGTATTTATGTATGCGCATTGGCCACGTTTTTCCCTTGAAAGTCGAGAAACTGATCATTGCCTTTCATTTCTTAACATATATATGAAGAAGAAAAAGAGAATCAAAAAAGGAAAAAGGTCGAGAAGAAAGAGTTTTTTTTCTTTGGTGATTCGATGAGTGTAAAGAAGAAGAAGAAAAAAGAAGACACATGAATCATTTTCTTTTTTTGATGGGTGATGATGAGTAAAAGTAGTAAAAGAAGAAAAAAGAAGGGAGGTAGATCATCAAGTAGACCGGAACAGCCAAAAAAAAAGGGAAAAAAAGAAAGAGAAAATGTGAACATGAGTAGTGAATGGGTGATAGAGAGAGGGAAGGGAAGAGTAATGATACATTCTCTTAGGACAGGACACGACGACGACGACCGAGGAAGAAGGAAAGGGCCGTACGAAGCGTGGGTGAGATCCCAAGAGGGAGATATATATCAATAGGATCGGAGGTCTGAGAGCGCACGTGTGTGTATGAGATCGAGAGGAGGGGAGGTAGTCTAACAACATCCACTGGACTGTTGTTGTTGGACGTTCTGGCCCGCGCCGACCTTGAGAGTGGCCTTGTTTGAGCCGGTGTTGACGGTGGTCGAGCCGGTGCTGAGATTGAGAGGAAGAGAGTGGATCGGTCAGTCTCCCTCTCATCATTTCCCAACTGGGTCATCATCATCAAAGAAGAAGAGTGCTTGCTTACCGGTCCTTGATCTGCTTGGCCATCGTCAAGAAGGCCTGCTCGACATTTGTTGCACTCTTAGCCGAGGTCTCGAGGAAAGGCTAGAGACAAATCAAAAAAGGAAGCGTCTTAGCATAAGTCTCACTAGAAAAAAAAAAACAGGAATACTGGGTTGAGAAGGAGAGGGACAAACGATAGTCAGTTGGTCAGCAAAGTCCTTAGCGACCGTATACTCGACCACCTTCTTCTGAGTCAAGTCACTCTTGTTACCGACGAGGAGTTTGTTGACACCTTCGCAGGCGTACCGATCGATCTCGTGGAGCCATTGCTTGACGTTCGTGAACGTGTCCTGGTCAGTCACATCATACACCACGATGATCCCGTGTGCACCTCGATAATAGGACGAGGTGATCGTCCGGAATCGTTCTTGACCTGCCGTATCCCACTACGTATATGACCACATACAAGATTTTTAATGCGAGAATGATCAGTAATCATAATCGGCATCAACCGTCGAGAAAATAGCGATCATTTGGAGATAAGGGGTCCGGAAGACTGACGATTTGTAACTTGACCGTCTTTCCTTCTAGCTCGATCGTTCGAATTTTGAAATCGACCCCCTAAGAAGAGAAGGAAGGTGATGTTCAGATAAGAAGACGAGGATGATCGTCAAGTAGTAGTGAAGTATATACCGATGGTAGAGATGTAACTATCGGTGTAAGTGTCATCTATAAATAATAAAACAGAGCGATGAGCTAGTCAGATAAGGATGACTCATGAATCGAATGTCGAGTGAGAGCTCTGACCAGCAAATCTTAGGAGTAAACAAGATTTCCCGACTCCCGAGTCGCCAATCAAAAGGAGTTCTGTTGGAAGAGATTTTCGAGGAATACATCAGCAACAAAAGAAAGAACATGACTACTTGGCAAGAGATGATGACCCTTCTCTGTCTTTGAATGGTTTGTTGAGAAGAAGAAGCACTCAACTGAACTGGTTGATCGTGGTTCGTTTGATGATTATGTTTGAGGGAAAGAGCATTAATCAATCAGTTCAGACAGCTTGCTTTTGTTGTTGTTGTTTTTGGTGACTGACCAGATAATCGTCTGAAACGAAGAGAAGAAGAAGAGTCAGTCTGCTGTTTGATGAGGAATGAGTTGATAAGGATGAGGAGACTGACAATCTGGAGTCATATTGTTTACTAAGTAGTCTTCGATCGAGTGGTTGTTGTTGATGGTTGATGGTTGATGGTTGTTGATGATGATGGTGGTTGTTGTTTGGTTTTGCTGTGAACTGGTCATCACTCCTGTCTGGACTCTGGGTCTCTCAGGGGGGTGGGCAGTACCCCCGGGGGAGCCCGGTGATTATAAAGGGTCCCACCCGAGGGTCAGGCTTCAGCTGACCCTTAGTATCAAATCCAGTCAACTGGGATCACCACCAACCAAACAGCCACCAACAACGACCAGCCACCAGACAAGAAACATTCAAGAACGAAAGAAACCGCTCCCTTGAGAGTTACCGGATGAATTTACCCACCTACTCACTCGCCGACTCACCCCATTCGACGATCCTCAACGTCTGTCTAGGCGTACCCCCATCTTCCAAACCAATCATCATCAATCGACCACCACCTAAACCTTCATCATCATCATCATTATCATCATCGTCATCTTCTTCTTCTTCAAAGGTATTCATCTCACAGCAGAACAAGAAATCTGACCTCAAAGGCAAAGCGCCTCAACGTGACCAAAACGAACAACAGGAAGAAGTAGAAGAAGAAGAAGAAGAACAATGGCAGGATGCGGAGTTCCGGAGGTCATCCACTCGCCAACCTACGTCCCTCCCACCGTCCGATCAAGATCTTCTGAACAATTCTCACATTCATAACGAGAAAGGGAGCGGAGAGAATGAGGATCATCCCTTGTTCAAATATACCGGCTGGGACGAATGTTTTGCAACTGCTAATGCTGAGGGATGGACCATTTATCGGAATTATCCGCTCAGAGTCATTCAAAAACATGGTCCGTAATTTTACGTATTCTCGAACATGATTTTTATTCTAGTTTGGGTTCAATTTAATGACCAAAAAATTGGGGGTTTTTTTTTCGATATGTGCGTAGTGGTTCCAAATGGTTCATTGAGGATCGTGATGCCGCTTCATCGAACAAACATACTATATCTAGTTGGGGGCCCACCGAGTGCATTATACTCACCGAACAAGGTGATAATCTACGACAGTTTGGAATCAAAGGCGAAATATTCGATCGAGATGAGCTCGCCAGTTCTAGGAATCACGGCAAGACGGGATAAATTAGTAGTAGTCCTATTAGAACGGGTGGTGCTATTTGGGGGTGAGTCCGGAGGGGGTGATGTATGAGGAGGGGGAGTGGGAGACATGCAAGAATCCGAAAGGATTGGTCTGTTTGGGGTCGGCTGTTGGCAGCAGTTTGCTCGTCTTTCCAGGCCGACAATCCGGGAAGGTCCAGATCGTCCATCTGCCGCTCTTCGAACCCGATCGTCCTGCCTCCTCCTCCTCCTCTGGAAGAATCTCCGACCGGACCTCCGCCGATCGTCGACAACATCCTCCATACCCTTCCACGGCCATCCTCGTCGCACATACTACCCCTCTCGCCAGTCTCGCCATCACTCCCTGTGGGAAACTCATCGCCACCGCCTCCGTCACCGGCACCCTCATCCGCATCTGGAACGCTAAATCCGCCGCCCTCGTCCGCGAACTTCGCCGGGGTACTGACGGCGCGGAAATCTGGGGCTTGCGCTTCAGACCCGATGGGCTGGCTATCTGCGCTACTAGCGATAAGGGCACTATTCATGTTTGGAGCCTTGCGGAGAAACCGAAGACTAAAGAACCAGCTGAGGATGGGTAGGTCATTCTCTCTATAGAGTTGTTTTCCAACTTGTCGATCCTTCTTTCCTGATCTCAGGAGATCTATTTTCTCTTCCCGAGACTGAGACAAGCAAATGATGTTCTTTCCAACAAAACAAATGACAGGAAAACTGGGAGGTCGTTAGCATTATTGAAGCCCTATCTACCCAAATACTTTCATTCGACATGGTCCGACGGGTTTTTCCGACTTCCCGGGCCGGGAGGCAAGCCGAGTCGAGGCACGAGTCTTCCGGGCCTATTTGGTTCGCCGGTGATAGGTGGGGCGAGTTCAGGGGAGTCGAGTGGGGGAGGAGAAGGGATAGAGGGAGGGATAGCTCATGGACGACCATTGATGACGGTGGAAGATGATGTGAGTTTGGTCAGCTGGATCCTCGCGCCAGGACCGGGGCCCGAGCCGTCTCCTCCCATCGAGCCCCAAATCGTCGCCATCACTCGCTCTGGTGCTTGGTTCAGACTCCGGATGCCCCCCTCTACTCTCGACCTCTTACATCCCCCTCCTCCGAATACTACCTCATCCTCCTCGTCTGCTGCTGCTTCTGGGAAATCTCCCTCGGTCGATCGTAGCGTGCCGCTCGAATGCGTCGAGTATCGTAGGTTCCTTGAGGACGAGGATTGGAGTGATGAGGATGATCAGGACTGTATTGGCCGGTTTCCTTCTTGACTCTCTCTCTCTTTCTCGCTGCCTACTTTTTAACCATTACCATCGTCGTCCCGGTTGTTGTTGTACTCTTCCTTGTTGGGTTTTTTTAGTAGGTGCATCTCACAGAAATATTCATGTACAAGTTGTTGATATATCATCATCTTATCAGCCTTTGTAATATCAGATAGAAGGGGCAGCTGGGTCAAATTCCTTTTTTTTCTTTATCTCTGCTTCAACATATCAACTTTTCTCTTATTACCAAATCTCTCTACATTTTACTTTTTTGTTACTGTGGTTGTAATTTATTGACATATGTACTCTTTCTCAGTCATTTTTTTTTGAGCTTAAATTTAATGGAAGCTTCCTTCCTTCCGCAATCGTTTGGGAGGTGTGTATAAATGGGGGAAATGGTGATTTATAAAGACACATGCCATTCATGATAAACTCAGTCAAGAAAAAGATGTTGTGTGACAAATGATTTTTGCAAAACAAGTATATGCATTATGTAATGCTGAGAGGAGCACTATCTGTCAATTATCCTCTAATTATATGGGTTTAATATTCATCAAAGTATTATTTATAGCAGTGGCAAAGTAACTTGCATGTATGATTCAAGTACTACAGTGCAGAGCTTTATGGGCCACGTGGTGCTTCATCTCCCATATTGCTTGAGGGAAAAAATTAAGCTCTACACAAATGAGTATTAGATATTTGTCAAGATATGAAGAAAAAGAAAGTGATCATTTTTCAATGGTGGCTCAAGGCTCCTATTGCAGATTGTGTCAATTAGGTTTCACTTTAGATTCAGGGGCTGTCCCCACTCCAGAACATCACTATATGGAACATGGAGGTTCATATTTCAAGGAAATCAAATGGTCTTGTCGACTGATCTTCACAAGCTTGATGACAGAGCTTTCAAGTTCAAAGAGGGAGCACTAAATCAACATTTGTTGAATAATCTGGTTCAAGTCTTTCATGGGATGGAAAACCAGGACAGTAAGTTTTATGGGTTCAGTTGGATTTGCAGGCATTTTACACAGCAACTTGTTTTTTGTTTGAAAAATTATGTCTCGCATACTTCCACGATTTTCTCTATTTTGAAAAACGTATTCAAGAGAATTGAAGTAATCATGCACTTTTTCAGCTGGCCTTCTTGTTTTTATGATGTGAGAAAATTCTTAACAAAATCCAGAATATGCCAGCTTGTATGCACTGATTGATCATGGTACAGAATCAAAAGAAAAGAAGAATCTTGAAGCTTTATTTGGCAAATGATTTGATTGAAAATGAATATATTGGGAAATGTCTAGAAATATGATCCTTTATAACTTCTGCACAGATGTCTAGTCTGTCGATTTAGAACTAAGAGCTTTAAACACAGTCCAGTTTATCACCCTGCTCAGGCTTGTCAATTGATCCATGGACTATTACCTCCCTGGGGATAAATATAAATCCTTCATGGTCCGGCTGATTCCAGGTTATGGGATTGAAAAACATCAGTCAGCCCCACCACTAGATGAAGAGTTACTTCTGAGCTACTGTCCCCACGCACCTTGAGTTGCGACACTTTTTGACCACAGCATCTGGTTCTTTCTAAATTTTCCCCTTGATAGTGATAGCAATTTTCATCTGTAGGTTGAAACTTGGCTTTGAAATTCAATCAAAATCAAGTAAATGATGTATTTATGTACCAGGTTAGCTCATTACATTATAAATATTTGTCATTTCAATTTCAGGTGATTTGTAAACACATACCTTTAACCAACTTTTTCTTAGGGTCGTTGTAGTCTTTGGATGAAAAGCAAACAGGTACAAAACCCTTTTTCGTGCAGGTGGCTGGCGGTTTGGATGGGTGGAGCACGTCGGCAGAAACGGTCAGAGTCAAGGCTGTTGTAAGCAATAAGAGTACAACTGGGCGGTAAATTGGCATCATCATGTGCAACTTTGGTATGGCTACAAGTCTGTCAGCTCCAGGACACAGTGAGGGACAAAATGGTCTTCAGTGAAGCCAAAGAAGTAGGGCAAGTAAATCTGGGAAATTTGAAGTGACTTCAGTTGAGTTGACAAAGATGCAACATTTTCAGGGTGAGTGAGAATCATCAAAGTAGGCAGACTATCAGTGAGGTTTTGTAATCCACAGACAAGATGATAGCCGAGGGATTCTAGCCAGGTGGTGTCCGCACGACGGGGCAAACGATGTCGGTAGTCCTGCTATCGCTATCAATACTTACATAATTCCTACATTCATTACTCCTTTCTGTGCGTTGCTAGAGCCACCAGATGGCTAGCGAGAAAATAAACAACCTTTGAAAGTGTCAAGGACAGAGGTGTTTAATTACCCTGGTTCTGAGCAGCAACCATCCTAATTTGAATGTCTCATAAGAGGCACAACATTGTCATTCAATGACCCTGTTTCTAAGCAGCTCGGACTAGCCCATGTAGCCGGAGTCGGTGAGGAATGTAGCAGCTGATGCATGTATACATCCTGGCAAGTGAAGTATGGCTGGCAAGCAAGGCCGGAGTCGGCATCCAAGCTCATTCAAAAAGGGCGAGCCCGATTTTTTTTTTCAGCCATAAGCGCTGTAAAGCTTCTGTGTACAGCCTGCCCAAACGCGCTCCTCGGACCCATTCTGATGCCGGTTGCCTGTGAAGCCGGAGGGCTAACAGGACTCTAAGGCTGTAGAAAGGCTGCGGCTGCGAAGCAGAAACTATATGCAATGCAAAGGAAAACTATAACTATGAAGCTAAAAAAAGACTATGAACAAAGTGTGAGAACGTAGATGACTACAGTGGCGCGCGGCATTGTACTGTACAAGGTTTTGCGATGTCCGAAAGGTCGGGGCCCAAAACTTGGATTTTTTTGTGATTTTCGCCTGTTTTTGGGGGGTTGAGATGTAAATCCGGTGTCACAGCTGCTGTAATTGACCTGTGAAATACACTTTAAGCTCATGTTTATGGGTTTTGGCTGACAGTTGGCCATGTGAGTATGGGATTAGGATACCTCCCTAACCCATAAGTATGTACTAAGACCCCCATACACAACCTATGTCCGAATGGTTGAGTGAAAAAAAAAGTTTTTTTTTTTGGCTGGACCAAATTGTTTGCAACTTTAGATTTGGAATCTACACACCCTGTAGACTCCAAAAACACACTTATTACAAGTGCTGGACCCCCATCGGGGTCGGGGTTTAACTCCGCGCGACCAGAAAAGTTTTGCGGGCAGCCTTGTACAGTGCAATGCCGCGCGCCACTGTAGATGACTGGAGAACAACGGAGAGAGGGAAAGCTTGAGGGTTTTATATATACCCGAGATGCTGAGTGAAACACTTAAACATGATAAGCGGAGAGCCGCATACAACATATCAGCCTAAGTCAGAAAGAGAAAAGAGGGAAACGTAAGGGTCCAAGGTATCGCCGTGGCCCTAAGTAGGCGGTGTCGTTGTGGCGCCGGCTACAACATCCCCCCCCCAATTTGAGAGGCCGTCCCGGTCTTAGGTGTAATAAATTTGCCTTTGAATTTCAGGCGAATACCGGGTCTTGAAGTTTTCGCGATTGACTTCGTATTTCGGAGAGCTTTTTTGGCCACGCAAGCATCTTTCTGTCGTTCCTTGAGAGCAATTATAGGTGGAGTCGCCCACATCTCGTTTGTCAAAAGAGATCGAAGGGAGACTGGACGAAGGGAGTTGCCGTTGACGGGTCGCAAGTAGTCCGATCCATCGGTATCAGAGAGAATATAAACATTGTTGTCTAAGACACTTTTGATTTTGAATGGGCCGTACCAGCGAGGAGCACCCTTAACATGGGACTCATTGCGTAGCTTAACCGACTCGCCCACAGCGTAGCGAGGGAGGATTGTGCCCAGTTTTTTATCAAAAGATTTTTTATTTTTATCAGCTCGTTTGGCAACGTTAGTCAGGGCCGTCATGCGTTTACTGTTTAATTGCCTGATACTTTCGCGGAGGGCATCTTCTCCAGGGCATGCTACGTCCGTAGCGATAGGCTTAACTGGATCAGATGCCAGTCAAGGTTTCACACCATACGTAAGTTCGAACGGTGAAAACTTGCTGCTGTCACTGCAGTGTATTCTTGTCGAATAGAGGGCGGCGGGAAGATAGTCTTCCCAACGACTGAGGTCACCCGTCTTGTTCAGTTTGAATAAAGCAGCTTCGAGAATACCGTTATAACACTCATTCTTCCCGTTCGTCTGCGGGTGATAGCCAGAAGTATTTGATTTCTTGATGTTTCCGGCCGCTAAGAAACTCGTCAACCCCTTAGAGAGGAAATTAGAACCCCAATCGGTTAAAAATTCCCTAGGTAATCCGAAAGGAGTGATTACATGTTCTAAAAGTGCCTCTGCGATATTCGTTGCAGTGGCATCCTTCATTGGTATGGCAATAGGCCACAAAGTGCAATGATCAATAATCGTAAGGATCCAGCGATACTTGTGGACACTGCTTTCCGGTAATTGGATGAAGTCCGCCGACCAACGTTCAAATGGTCCTACCAAAGGTAGCGGGGCCTGGACAGCGGTTTCCTGCGTATCTCTGGAACGCTCGAAAACCTGACATTGCGCACAAGTTTGAACATAAGCTTTTACATCGGTGAGGCGATGGGGCCACCAACCACGGCCACGCAAGAGATTCAAGGTTGCGTCCCGGCCTCGGTGGCCAGCTTCGTCGTGAAGTTTGTTTAAAAGGGAAAACCGATGCCCCCGGCTGACGAAGGGGGAACGTTCAGGTAAGCCTGGTCGGCCTAGATAGAGAAGCGTCTCCTCATTGGCGTCGTATTCAAACAAAGCGTCATTCATACGTGCCCTTACTCTTAAGGCAAGCGGCACAAAATCGGGAATAGGTTTGTCGTCCCGTAAGTAAGGAATCAACAGAGGCCAATCGGTATCATGGAGTGGATCGTTGACCGCATCAATGAACAAAAGATCCGATCGTCGTGATAAAGCATCAGGCACAACATTGTCAGAACCGCGTTTGTAACGGACGTCAATATCCATCTCAGAAAACTCGTCGATCCATCGAAGTAAACGTTTGGATGGTAGTTTCTGCGTGGAAAAGTAGACCAGAGAAGCATGGTCGGTGTAAACAATAGTTGTCTCTACAGCGCCTTCTAGATATACATGCCATTTACGCCAAGCATGCAAAATCGCGAGAAGTTCACGTTCCTGAGCAGGATAATTACGTTGAGAAGAATTCAACTTACTCGATTCATAAGCTACAGGATGTAAATGATCATCGTCAGCTTTTTGCAACAACACAGCGCCCACGGCAAAGTCCGAAGCGTCTGTTTCTATAACGAAAGGTTTCAATTGATCTGGTGTCAGCAAAACAGGTGCCAAGACCAGCGCCTCTTTCAGCTTGAGGAAAGCCGCCTCATGAAGCGGGAGCCACAGCACTGACTGGCGTTTGGTAACGTTGCCAGCGGTAAGCTGGTGAAGGGGAGTGGCTATGTTAGCAAAGTTTTTCACATACCTGCGATAATAGCCGCACAATCCCAAAAAAGAGCGAACGTCGTGAACATTGGAGGGACGGGGCCAATCTTCAACCGCTTTCAGCTTGTCCGGCATCGGGCGAATATGGTTACGCGACACCAAATGTCCAACATACTGGATTTCTTCAAGTCCAAATGAACATTTGTGACCGCTGCAACGCAATTCTTCGCTTTTGAGGACGGCTAAGACTTGTTCTACATGTCGAAGGTGGTCCGCCTCGTTTTGTGAGTATATCAAGATATCGTCAAGGTAAACCTGAACAAAATCGTCGATGAACTCTCGTAAGATGTGAGTCATCATCCGTTGGAAAGTACTGGGAGCGTTGACTAACCCAAAAGGCATTACGAGCCATTCGAAGTGACCGTATTTCGTTCCAAAGGCCGTTTTTGGGACGTCGTGCGGAGCGATCCTCATCTGATGAAAGCCCTGCTGAAGATCGATTTTAGTAAAAAATTTAGCGTCTTTTAATGAGTCAAAGCACTCCTGAATCAAAGGGAGAGGATGTCGATCCTTTTTTGTAAGGGCGTTCAACGCTCTGTAGTCCACACAGAAACGAAGAGAGCCTGAAGCGTTCTTAGCGAACAAAATGGGTGACGACCAAGAAGAAGTGGACGGCCGGATGAAGCCGGTCGCCTGCAACTTCCGGATCCGTTCCTTGAGTTCGGAAAGCAAAAGAGGTGACATCTGTCGCACGTTTTGGTAAACTGGCTTAGTGTCGCCGGTGTCAATAAGGTGTTCGACTACACGTTCCTTAGAAGAGACCTGGTCAATTGGCGAAAATAATGTTTTGTATCGCTTAACCAAAGCTCTTAAAGATGAACCAAAAGGTTCCGTTTCACTAAAGGAATTGGGAAGACTCACCTTAGGCGTTTCACGAGGGCCAAGAACATTCAAGTCCCCGTCGACCATCGTACACAGGAAAAATTCCGTTTTTTTATTTTTTAATTCCTTGCGGAATGCTCGTCGGGACATAGGGATGATGTCGGGGTCTTTCATGATGATTGCCAAGTCAAGTGGTCTCTCAGTTGTTCTTCCTGGAGAGAAAGTAACCAATGAGCCATCAATGTTCTTGAGCATCCATTCATTCTTATCCCAGTTCGTGCTGGATGCATTCGTAGAGATCCAGTCACGTCCCAAAATAACGTCATAAGAAGATAAGGGGGCCACTCTACAGGTGACAACCCCAGAAAACAAACCCAAAGACAATTTGAGCTTGCATAAACGATCATTGCTGATACACTCACCAAAAGCGCCGGCGACAGCAAATGGAACACAAGAAAAAGTCTTGAGACTCAGGTCTCCGACAAAAGTTTTTGAGACGTAAGATGATCCTGCACCTGTGTCAATCAGGACGTTAGCTATACGCCCTTCAATGATCTCAAAAAAATTCACACTCAAAGTCTCATCACCGTGAGGAATAGACAACAATTGATCAGAGTTGTTGCCCAAAAGATCACGAATTATGTCGTGCGCGTTTGAAGTACTTACAATTTTCTCTCGAGGAGAACAGGCTAAGTTCTCAGATGGAACAGTAGCCAACGCTGCTATAGCCGTTTTTGATTTCAATGAATCAGGCACTTGCTCACTCTCAATGTTGTTAACGAACGTAAGTTTTTTATTGCTAACAGAATCAAAACAAGGAGAGACAACGGTCGGTGGCAGAGACAATTGCACACCGACTACACATTTAAAGAAACGGTGTTGGAACCGGAGGCAGCACGTTTGGCATCATACCTTAACTGTTTCTCAGACTTCGGCTCTGGGCATTTTGAACTATTATGCCCCGGTTTGTTACAGTTGTAACACACTCGCTCGCCGGTCTTGGCCTTCTTCCCGGAGGCGTCGTCGTCGGGGGCCGTTGCTCGTTTGTTGCCTTTGTCAGAAGTTGACGCTAGGCGGTTAGCCTGCCATTGACGATCTTCCTCCAAAGCCGCTTGCTGGACTGAGCGGAAGTCCATAGGAGTCTTGCGTTGCTCCTCGGTGCCCATAAGGCTGTCGAGTTTTTTAGAAAGACCGGGATTGACCTTCAAGACGAATCCGGTAATTTTGTCGTACTGGAAGTCGTAGTTTTTCGCCATAACTTGCCAAGCCGAGAACCGTTTCATGAAATTCTCAAGTGACTCGTTCGGGGCCTGACGAAGTTGATCCCAAGCGCGGGCAACAGAACGTTTGCTGATCGCCAAAGGATTTTCTTTCGTAATCCAAGTTTTGAAAGCAGGCCAGTTCTGAGGAACGGTGCCTTCAGCCTTAGCTTTCTTCAATTCCTCCAGCGCGCGATCGCGGAGCATGTTGAAGGCAACGATGTGCCACAAAGACGGATGGGCTCTGATCATTTCGAGAGCCAACTCGATGTCAGCCAACCAAATGCGAGCGTCGCTGGTGACCGAAGCGTTGTAAGTACGTCGGTTGGTTCCTTGCCAAATACGAAGGACTACCGATAACTTCGTTTCCCAATCAGCGTAGGGATCGTATCCAGGGGCGCGAGGTGCATGCCCGAGGTATTCGTTGGTGTGATTAGATAAACCTTCAGGACGTCGAGGCGCTTCAGCCCGGGCTGCCGGGATATCAAGATTCGGTAAAACAGGTTTTTCAGTGCCGGCCTCGGAGACCGCTCGAGCCTTCCCTTTGAAACAAAGGTTCTCCATCGCTTGAGTAGCCGCCTCTCAAGAGCTGCCCTGAACGCCTTCACCCGTAGCGGACAAGGAACCCATGACTATTTCGTTTGGAAATCCATCGTCAGTTAGAGGAGTAGCAGCAGGATCCTTGTAATCATCGTTGCTGCTCTCGGATCGTTCTTCCGTGGCGACCAGAGGAACCATTCGAAGCCAGAAACGCGGGTTCTCGGCTACATACAACCTCTCGTCATGTGTCATTGCCTCCAATTCGTCAGCGCAGTAATCGAAACCATTGAACGGCGGTCTGGGAGCTAAGCTCGCGGAACGAGGAGCACGACGTGTGGTGACGTTGTCAACGGGGGATCTTGGGATGGCCATTCTGTAACGTTCAGAGATGAAAGATCCAATGTTAGTTTGAGTCAAAAAATCGAGAAACCGTTTCGTTGGTTTGAAAACGAAAGCCAGTCTAAGCCCGACCAAAAATCGTTGGAAGGGGCTTCAAAAAGATACGATTTATTTTTTTCGAAAAGAAAAAAACCTACTGGTTATGGATAGTACTCGGGTTTTTAATCTAAGCGTTCGACGGGAAAGGAGTCGAGGCAAATGGATTTGCTGAAAAACTGAGGTCGAAGGTAGAAAAAACGGGAGAACTCGCGGGAAGAAAACTGAGATCAAGGAATAAAGTCGTCGAAGAAAAGGATTCGGCCGCGTCGAAGAAAACAGTAGTAAAAAAAAGTATCTAAATGAAGTAAAAAATGCGAACTCGCTACCACTGAAGCCGGAGGGCTAACAGGACTCTAAGGCTGTAGAAAGGCTGCGGCTGCGAAGCAGAAACTATATGCAATGCAAAGGAAAACTATAACTATGAAGCTAAAAAAAGACTATGAACAAAGTGTGAGAACGTAGATGACTAGATGACTGGAGAACAACGGAGAGAGGGAAAGCTCGAGGGTTTATATACCCAACATGCTGAGTGAATCACTTAAACATGATAAGCGGAGAGCCGCATACAATGGTGGACCAAGGCGGTCACGTCTGGATGAAACCAGGGGCTGAGTATCAGCCTAAGTCAGAAAGAGAAAAGAGGGAAACGTAAGGGTCCAAGGTATCGCCGTGGCCCTAAGTAGGCGGTGTCGTCGTGGCGCCGGCTACACCTGCCAGACCACGCAGTTGGGCCCGGTGCCCGGGTAGCGATGGACGGTGCAGAATATGTAAGCAAAAAATTCACCAAGCAATGAATGGCACGAATCCTGGGACCGGATATCTAGCCATGAAAAGGTTACAGTTCTTTGTTGGAAGATGAGGAAGATGTAAAGTTTTGTATCCTTCGGTGGCAAAAAAGGGCTTGCGCAAAGTTGCAAATGCAAGCTTTTTCGGAATGGCTGTATCGCATGCTCTTCTTCAAAGGTCTCCATCTCAATCAATGGCCTCCATCTACCTCTCTTCGAATCCAATCATCTTGCCTCCTCCTCCCTCTGGAAGAATCTCGGACCGGACCTCCGCCGATCGTCAACAACATCCTCCACACCCTTCCACGGCCATCCTCGTCGCTCATACTACCCCTCTCGCCAGTCTCGCCATCACTCCCTGTGGGAATCTTGTCGCTACCGCCTCCGTCACCGGCACCCTCATCCACATCTGGAACGCTAAATCCGCCTCCCTCGTCCGCGAACCTCGCCGGGGTACTGATGTCGGGGAAATCAGGGGCTTGCTCTTCAGACCCGACGGGCTGGTCATCTGCACTACTAGCGATAAGGGCACCATTCATGTTTGGACCCTTGCGGAGAAACTGTTGAAATTTTAAACTGAAGAACTTAGGAGGCAGAGGGCCAAGAAAGTGAATTTCCTTTTTGGGAAAGGTTCACGGGAAAAGAGTCAAAGAACCGATGGATTTTATTTCTTGTAGTTAGCCTGTTTAAATAGCCTAAATACAAGAGGTTTAAGATGTGGTTGAGAGAAATGAATAGCAGAAACAAATTGAATAAAAACTGAGAGGAAATAAGTTTATGAGTTCTTGGAAGAAACAACGTGACAGGCCTTCTCAATCTCTTTTAGTCATGCCAGAAGATTAATCAAGAGAAAACATAAGTTAGACCACAAATATTGAAAGGCGTTAATTCTCAATAATCAGTTTTTAAAGAATCAAATAGTGAACTAGAAAAAGAAAGAAACCAATCAATAAGACTAGAATTGTTTGATGAAAATTGCCCATGATGAGTTCTAATTAGACTACAACAGAGCATAAGATTCAACACAAAAAACAGCTATGATTGAATATAATTTCAGTCCAGGTCAAGATGATTCAAGAAAGAATAAGGGAGAACAATTAGAAGAAAGAGTAGCCAGAGAGTTGTAAACTCAACAGAAACCCAAGACTTCGGGCAAGTCATTCCCTTTATAGACTTTCTTACACTTTTCAATCCCTTTTTTCAAACCTCAGGACATCTATTTTCTCTTTTCAAGACTGAGACAAGTAACAGTGGCCAGTTATGCTAACCTTAGTCTTAGGAAGCAATTATAAATGGGCCTTTTTTGAAGAATTTTTTTATTTTTTATTTGTTCATTTTCATAGCAATCTCCTTATGGAATTTCCTCACAGTGCTTATGGGGTTCAATTCCATCCCTTATGGGCTGTATCAATCTGCACAATTTTAAAGCATAAAGACAGTGCCCCAACCTCAAAGGCCTGATAAAGCTTGCATCAACATAGCTACAAAATATCAATTACAGATACAATAAACTGGCCGTGCAGGTTTATAATTACATAGTGCTTCAATTTTTTCGTTTTCATTTTCATCATAAAAGAAGTTTCAAAAACAAACCAGAAAAGTTTCAAAAAGAATTCAAAAGCATGTATAATTGCTGCCTTAGTGCAGGTTAATGCAGCAGAATTCCACCAAAATTTAGCATGGTGTAGTGTATTTCTGTCTCCTCTAACACTACATGTGCAGGACCCCAAAAATAGCCCGCTATGCTTCACTAGCAAACTGCTTAGCGGCAATTTGGCCCTTTATCAACCAACATTCTCTTAAAGTCTAGGGTTGTAGGATTCACATTAGGAAAGTTGTGCATTAATGGTGTCTTTGGGAGTCCTGGGGACCTCTTTCTGAGATGCAAGGTGAATCCTTGGCTGAAGATTTTTAACTCCTGTTATAGGCTATCTCAAGTGCTGGTAGGAGACCTACCCAGTCATGGGTATATCCATCTTCATTTTCAAAATCTAATCCAAAGGCACAAAACCTCCTGAGCATATCCTCTAAAGTTTGGCTCATTATTTCTGCTAGCCCATCTGTCTCAGGGTGATATTCAGGGGAAAAGGCGACTTCAGTAACAAGTATGTAATATAGATTCCTCCAAAATTCTGAAGTGAACTTAGGATCTCTGTCACTAAAGATACATTAGTGGTCTGTATTGCAGTGTATTGGAGCAAAAAACCACCAAATTTTTGCTAACACTACATTATTTCTGTGTGCAAAAAAACTGCTATGCCAACAATTTTTGGGCAAAAAGTGTAGCCATCCATCATGAATACAAGCAAATGATGTTGTTATTTTAAGAAAAAAATAGTAAAACTGGGAGTTTGTTAGCATCATTGAAGCCCTATTTACCCAAACAATTTCATCCAGCATGATTAGATGGGTTTTTCCAACTTCCCAGGCCAGTCAGAAATACCTCTCAAAGCAAGATTCTTTGAGCCCTATTTGGTTTGCCAGTGATAGGCAGAGAGAGTTCAGGGAAGACATGTGGGGAAGGAGAACCCCCAATGGAAGGGTTATCTAATGGAAAAAAAAATGATGGTGG